GCTGCTAGTGCTTCCCCAAAGGAGGCGAATTTTTGAATCCCTGAGGCAGCCTTGTTCAGGTGAGCTGTGTCTAAACAGGTGAGCCCGACGGCCCCTGCAGAATCAGTCCTAAGAGTGTGTGTGGGTTGGGAACCACTCAGCATAAGATCCTAGACTGGTCAATATCCCACTCCCCCTGTTTTCTTAACTGGCAGCAGTGGAGTGTTTCACTGGGACACACATTCAACCAGAATAGCTGTTTTTCACAGGCGGGTGATGTGTTCTTTTATTCCCAGCTGGCCTCTCCAAGGTAGGGGGTGCTGTTGTTGTCGTATTGGGATTACTATGGGTGTATGGTTTTTGGCCATGCCCGGTGGATTAATTTCAGTCCAGACCTGAGGATGTGCTCACAGGAAGTCTTCCAAGTTGGTGTTGGGAGTCTCTCTCTCTCCCAGATTTTATAGTCATCTTCATGGCCGATTGACATCATCAGGATGAGGGAGGGAGGGAGCGGAGCCATCAGGCAGGTTGTCAGGTGGAGTTTAAGTGTCAGGTCCAGTGGGGCACCCCAGGAGTGGTGCTGGGCATTCGGGGATGTAGAGAAGCCCATGGTCTACCCAGTGACCACCCAGGGTGCAGGTTTGTGTTCTGAAGAATGGTTTCTCAGACTGAGTTCTGGTGGCCGCCATGATGAGAGCAGTCTTTTCTCCTAGAGGGGCCCAGGCCGAGTTATGACCGAGTGTTCAGCTCCTGTGTCCACCACAGACTTTACAGACTGGCCCCTACCTTCATGGAGCCCCTGAGTTCAGGGGGCTGAGGGTGTGGAAACCTGGTCTGCCTCAGTCCTCTCCAGCAAGCATGATGAGCGCCTATCCCTGGGCCCTGGTCGGTATTTGCGTCTTGGGGCTTGTGGATTGCAGTTGGGGGCATTCGTTTTTCTGAGACCCATTTCCTTACAGTGGGCACACTGATCCTTTATCAATGACCTTGGCCTTCGACTCTGCGGGCCCCCTAGTCCTGTGGCTGAATTTGTTCTGGGAGGGCAGAGGTGCCTGAGCAATGGCAGCCGCCAACAGGGCTGCATGGTGTTTGTTGTGGGAGTCTGATTCTCTTCTTTCTTCACGGTTCTGGTTAACAAACACCTTGCTAGCTTCTTCCAAGAGCTGAAGGGTGTTCATGCCAGCCAACCCTTCAAGCTTCTAGAGTTTTCGGCAGACGCCGGGAGCACTCTGGGCCATAAAGGCACTGTTGACCATCCGCTGGTTTTCTGGAGCCTCAGGGGCGAGAGGGGTGTAAATTCTGAATGCCTCACATAGCCACTCATAGAAGTCTGGTGTTTGATCATTTTTCTGAGTGACAATGGTAGTTTTGGCCATGTTGGTGGGCTTTTGGGGTCCTGCCCAGAGACCTCTCAGGAGTCCCTCTTGGTAGTGGTCCAGGGGGGTTCTCTCTTCTGGAAGGTAAATATCTCCATCTGGAACCTGGTCAAGAACAATTTGGCTGTCCATGCAGCTGGGGCTTGTTCTGGGGCTCATTCGTGGGCCTCACAAAGGACTCTCTGTCTCTGGTGTTGAGGAGGGCTGAGAGGAGTTGGCGACAATCACCCCATGATGGACAATGGGTTTGGAAGAGGGACTCAAATAGATCCACAAGTGCTTGTGGCTCCTCTGAGTAGGAGGGTGTGTTACGTTTCTGATTTAGGATGTCAGTGGTGGTGAAAGGCTGATAGTAGACTGTGACGTCCCCTGGTTGAACAGCGCCATCCGCTTCAATAACAGGAGGTGCCGGGGTCTCTCTCGGGGGCATCAGGAGGACTGGAGAGAAACTGTTCTGAGCCAACCAGAGATGTTGGGTTATTGGAGGGGTCTCTGGTGCCGAGAAGGTGGAACTTCTTGGAGCGGGACAGAGGGTGTCCCAGTGTGCAATTCCAGTGGCGGAACAGTAGGTGGCGGTGGAGCCTGGAAAGGTGGGGGCAGGACCTCCTCCTCCGCTGTATCACCCTTGAAAACTTTTGGTCAAGGTAGCACTTTTGCATTCTGAACTACTGCAGGCCGGACCTAGGCAGCTTTGACGGACAGCCACGAATCAATGTCAGGAAATTGATCTGGCTGTCTGGGCTGTCCTGTAACTATTCGCCAGACTTCTCAGTCTACAGCAACATCTGTCATTCCCTCTTGGTGGCCAACCAACATTGAAAGAGGGCCATTCAGCTGTACACAGAGTCTAAGTCTACTGGGGTCAGCCTAGTCCCATAATCCTCATAAAAACCATTTTTGAAAATTTTGAGCATGATATCTTAACACCATGGACTTAGAAGAAGGCCCACCCATCCTGTGCCCACCCCCTGATCAGAGATGCAAGACAAGCAAAGGAAGGGTGCCTCTAGTTGGAGACCAATCAGATGCCTGTCTGGCCATTTGCCCTACAGGAAGTTAGGTGCCTCTTAGCCATAACGGGTCGCGAAGTGACTCTAACGGTCCTTGACCATAGGAGGATCACTATGGAAGTACAGTTTCAGGCCCACTCAAAACCCGTAGCTTGTGCCGTGGGTCAACAGACTCAAACTGCTAATGCAAGCAAGAGTGGCCACATGCTCACACAACTCTCATATAGATTTAAAACATTTGCTCCCTCTGAGAGCCAGTCCTACCTTGAAATCCCAAAGTAGATTTCTTGGGGGAGAGATCAGGTACCCCTTCTGCCCTCTGGGGTAGGCTTGTCTTGGACTCCAGTCCCTGGGGACTCTTACCTTGTCTGATGCTTCCCAGTCTGATCATCCTGAGTCTCCTTGAGTCTGAGCGGGTGGCGGTGGCAGGGACAGTGGCAATTCTCGCTGGTGGGAGGACATCTCCCTGAAGTCTTGGGAGCAGTGCCTGGCCATCTGTCTGGCAGTGGCCATGGTTGTTCCATCCATGCGTTAACCCCCGTGGCTCAGAGAACCAGGGCAGTCAGTTTCCTGGTCAGGGAACCAAATGTTACTGACGAGAGATGGAAGAGACCGTGTGGCACTCGAGACTTTGCATGCAGTTCATTCACACACGTGGGCTTTATTAGACCTGTGTCTCATGAGTCAAACCCGATCCTTTGTCTTTCCCTACTTTTATACTCTAAGTTAGCAAGACAGTACAAGGCAGTTTGAGGGGAGAGCACACTATGCTGTCTTAGGCACTCAGGAACTAACAAATCACAGCTGCACAGCCAGAGTTTTGTGACACAGGGATCAGTTTGTAACTTACACATTCTGCTTCCTTTAGGAACCTCCGTGGTAGGGGTTGTCATTCTACAGCGTGCGTCAGGATCACCCGGATGCTCATGAAGCAGGTTCCCAGCAGTACCCTAGCAGTAACAGAAACAAGGGGCTGTCAGTCTGTGGTCAGGCCTTGGAACCGGGGTGGGAGGGCTGAGCTTTGAGAAAGTCACCCTCAAGCTGCTCCACACAGGTCTCACACGGCGGCCGTGTCCTCCGTGGTGTCAGCTGGAGCGGAGCTTGGGGGAAGTGCCGCTGCTCTCGGCCTCGTCAGGGATTGATTTGTAAGGGCATCACTCCCATCTAAGCTGGTCTTCTGGGCCAGCCTGCCTTCCACTACAGGGTTAAGCATTTTCACCTGGGCCCCCAAATATCAAATGGCCTTCACAAAGCACATCAGGAAAATCCCTCAAATTCCAAGCTAATTGACAGAGATTCCAGGGATAGGCAGTAAATACTTTTGCCTTCTGTATTGAGAAACAGCGAGAACAATAGTTTGGCTCTCTGCCTACCCAGCAGATATCAGCCGACCAGGGTTCTCTGAAACTTTTCAGCCTCCACACGCGGACTCAGCGGAGAAGGAAGCAGGAGGGTACAACATTTTGAAGGGAATTTTTTTCCTTCACAGTGAGAGGTAATCTATGAGAATGTAATTCCTCTAAAATAAAATTCGAAGCCTAAAAGAAAATTTTATGATGCTTGGAGGCAGACCACTCAGATGTTTTTAGTTAATCTGACAAGAGTTGAAAGAATTTTCACACTTGCAAAAATATCAAGGTTCCTTTTTGGCCTCCAAAGAGCTGAAATACAGTTCTGTTTTCAACCTCTAATGAATCTGGCGTGAACACTATTTCTCATAATCATTGTGATTTTTGGAAGACTAAAATAAATGGGGTAGAAACCAATGTAATAACAGATTTCAGAATCACAGAAGGATGGAATTAAAACAATGCTTGACCTTACTTAGACCAGTTCCGACTTGTAAAGCTGAAGAAGCTAAGACTTTGTCTTGTATCCCTACCCAACAACAGAACAATGACATCTATAGTCCCTGAAGGCCACTTCATTCCAGACTTGAGATTTAAGCAAATGCAGCAGCCATAGGACAACAAAAGTACTCTGAGTGGGACCAAGTGGTCTATGAATGCCACATGTCTATGGAAAGTAAGATAGAGCAGAAAGAGCGTTAGATAAGGAGACACGTAAGACATGAGCTCAATGTCCTGTCTTGGCCATGTAAATCCTCAAGACCTAGAGCACGTTGTAACTCCGAGCTTTCCTGTCTCCATCTGCAAATCTGAATGATAACCAGATTGTCTTAAGAATGAAATGAAGCAATGTCTGTGAAAGTACATGACAAGAGGCCGGCGCCGCGGCTCACTAGGCTAATCCTCCGCCTTGCGGCACCGGCACACCGGGTTCTAGTCCCGGTCGGGGCGCCGGATTCTGTCCGGTTGCCCCTCTTCCAGGCCAGCTCTCTGCAGTGGCCAGGGAGTGCAGTGGAGGATGGCCCAGGTGCTTGGGCCCTGCACCCCATGGGAGACCAGGAAAAGCACCTGGCTCCTGGCTCCTGGCTCCTGCCATCGGATCAGCGCAGTGCACGGGCTGCAGCGGGCCGGCCGCGGCGGCCATTGGAGGGTGAACCAATGGCAAAAGGAAGACCTTTCTCTCTGTCTCTCTCTCTCACTGTCCACTCTGCCTGTCAAAAAAAAAAAAAAAAAAAGTACATGACAAGCTCAGATGCATTACCCAGTGATACAACACGCATGGAGATTGCACCCAGACAGTCTGCACAGAGATAAATCTTGACACCCTCTTGCTTTGATTCCTTTAGCCTGACTTCCAAATTCCAAATATTTATTTTGATCCTCATTCTTTTTGGCCTTTTTGTCTTCTCAGATCTCACCCTATCCCAAAGAGCAGCCATTGGTCAATGATTCCCATTTTCATTCTGGCTTCAGAAGACCAGAAGTATAATCTTGCTTCATCCAGTTCTGTCTCCCAGTCCCTATTTAGTTCCCAGACCCACAACAGTTCCTGCAACAGAATTGAAGGGAATAGAATAGAATGAGAGGGATTGGATTCAGTTCCATGTAAGTGAATTCAACCCGAAGTCTGGGCTACTGGAAAGGGAAGACTAATGCAGAGCATCTCGGCTGATGAGGTACAGGTAAGAAAAGTGAGTTTGATCTGTTGCCAGAGGAAAGTAGCAAAAATGTTTCCTTAAGAAAGAAAAGCAAAACTGGGCTCTTCCCAAGTCTCTCGTCTACCTTTCCCAGTAGAAAGTGGTCTTCCTCCTTCCAGGAGGAAGGGCATGGAGCTTCTCCATGGGCGGAGGGTGCTGACTCACCAGAAAGTTTTTTCTTTCGCAAGTTCTCTATATGGACAAATTACTGTTTCTCCCTGGTGGCTGAGTTTCCTTAAGAACCATGATGAGGAGACCCCTTGAAAAGGAGACAGTAACGTGGAGCGATTGTTTTTCTGGTTTGCTTTTATTGTCCAGTCTAGAAACTGTGGCGCTTGTCATGTTTCTCTCTGTGGGTCTGGGTTGACTTTCCCAAAAGGAGGTTCTTGCTTTTGCATCACCGCGACTGCAAACAGAGCTCAGAAAAACCGTCAGTGGCAAATACAAAACACCAGCTATGTCTGAACCACAGATGGTACAAAAAACATAAACAACACTTTCTCAGCTTAGAGGATGGACTGTGCTCACCACTGCAAGGACCAGATATCAAAGTGGGGTCTCTCTTCTGAGATCTCGAATCTTGGCCTGTGGGGGTCAAGTTCCTCACCTTTTGGAATACATGGAATGTTCCAGAATGCTGTGGGATGACCTGCATGCCAGCGCCTCTTGGCCTCATTAGGATGAAACCCTCCTGTTTCTCAAACAAGCAGCCTTAGCACTCTCCTAATCTCCCACCTTCACCCACCAGAGAACAAGACCTGTTAGGAAAGGCAGACTAAGCCACTATCTGAAAATACATTAGGTCAACTTTTTATTTACTCAAAGGGAAATCATTGGCCATTGGAATAAGATGGTTTTGGCTCCATTTTGGAGCCATATATGTCTTCCCAATAACCACAGATTTATGTACAGAATGTCAAGTTCACAAAATACTTTTCACAGGCATTATCTCATTGGAATGCCACTCACTGGGCAGTAAGGAGGCTACTGCTCGCATTTAATTTTTTTTAAAGATTTATTTATTTATCTGAAAGTCAAGTTATACACAGAGATGAGAGGCAGAGAGAGAAAGAGGTCTTCCATCCGCTGGTTCACTCTCCAATCGGCCACAACAGCCAGAGCTGAGCCAACCCGAAGCCAGGAGCTGGGAGCTTCTTCCAGGTCTCCCACGCGGGTGCAGGGGCTGAAGGACTTGGGCCATCTTCTATTCTACTGCTTTCCCAGGCCATAGCAGAGAGCTGGACTGGAAGTGGAGCAGCTGGGACTCGAACCGGCGCCCATATGGGATGCCAGCACTTCAGGCAGCTGCTTTACCCGCTACACCACAGCACCAGCCCCCTCACATTTTAGAGTTGGGGAAACAGAGCCTCCAAGATGTGTGTTCAAATCCAGTCCTCTCCTCCACCATCTGTTGCGACCCTTCAGCGTTCACGGCTGAGTTCCGCAGCAGCCTGCGCACAGCCAGGTGGTCAGCTCCAGCAACCCCGAAGGAAGGTCAGCCCCCGAGCCCCTCTGAGTCAGGCAGCAGTGAGAAGTTTCCTGGTCATTTTCTCACTGTCTTCCTTCAGCTCTGACTTCCTGGCTCGAGTTCCAGCTCCAACATTTGTTAGTACTGAGGACGTCTTCTAAAGTTATAAGCTCAACCTGTGCCTTGGTGTTCTCACCTTTAAAATGGGGATAATGCTACCCTATCCTTACAATGTGCTGAGATGTATAGAGGAAAGCCTTTAAGACCCATCACCCCGTGCTAAGTAAGGGGTCATTGCACAGGGCCTGTCGTTATCCTTGTTAGTTCCTCCTATTTTACGCACGAGGGACAGATGCTCATGCGGGTTCAGTGGGAATGTGGCTGAGATCCGGGTCTAAGCGGGCGTCCAAAGAATTTGCTTTGTTTCTGACTTTTCACTGCCCCACTCTGCTTATTATTCTCCTCCTCCTGGACACTTTCTCTTGGCACGTAGCCCATTTCCCTTCACAATGTTTCTGACGCTAGGCTGCTTGCTCAGAATTCCCGAGATTGTCTCTATTGGAAAGAAATCATGATTTTTGGAGCTGAAGCCAAGGTATCTGCATTTTTACAAGTAACCCAAGTGATGCTGTTGTACCTTGAGCAAGATCAAGAGCTGCTGACTCAGACTGACCATGACAATGACTGTCCCTGCTCAGGCCAGCCCGGCTCTGTCTACCTCCCCCTTCACGTGGGGAGTGTCCCAGATCTGCCAGCTGGATAGCCTCCTTCCCGTATGTCCCTTCGCTTGCTGCTTCGTGATCGGGAACAGAAGCTGGCGCCAGCTCACAGTGTGACTCTCCATCATTCCAATCCACTTGGGATAAGGCTTGTGCAATTTATGGCTTATCTGGTCTCAGCATCAAGCAGGCTCAGGCAGACCTGCCAGTGGGACAGAACGGTAGGAGAGGTGATGGGTTGGGCAATGTCCATTCCATACACAAGACTCACATACACAAAGCTGCAACAACTGTGTAGCTAGAGAAATCTCAATCCCTACCGGGGTTCAACCCACAAAACTCGGATAACATGGAGCAGAGCAGAGGCTCACAGAAGAGCAGAACCAAAATCAGTCTTGGGATTAACGTTTTGTCTTTACTTCTTCGCACAGCAGAGAGAAGGCAGTTATCATTTACCACGTGCTTCACTTGATCAAGCTCCGCAAATCCCAGTCAGTGGCCTCCACCACCAGTGCATGAGTCCACCAAAAACCTCTTGGCACACGTCCGCTGAGGCTCCTAAGAGCCAATCTCCACATGTAACCCCCAGGCAAATATTTCTGCTTTTCTTATCATGATATTTTTCCCAAATTTCTCCATAAATTGGACTTAATCTCTGGTTACATAAACAGCTAAAGATATCCTAATTCCTGAGAGGATATCAAAGATCTGTTTTGAGTGGGGAAATGGAGCTGAGGGGGTGGAGCAGAATGGAAGCAAAACAAGCATTAATTATTAAACAGCTAGAAGATTTTAAAAATCACATACCACTGGGCACTTTCCCTCTCCACGGTGGTTTATCCCCATTAAAGGAAAGCCAGGAGTCTCACCATGGTGCATTTGCTGAGCTGTGTCCTGTCACTTGGAAAGTGAGTTTAAGAACGCACTTCCTGTCGATGGCCTCTGAGTGGCAATGCAGCTGCCCTAGCTGGTGCATTGATTCGATGCAATCTCTTATTTTGCCAACTGCATCTAGAACTGCTGAACAAAAGGCAATCTGTCATATGTGTGAGTAATGTGCAGAGCAGCCAAACAGTCCAGAATCCTAGGAATGTTTTTATAACAGGACAGAAAACCCACTCTCGGCTCTGTTTTGCTTGCTGGAGCTTGATGTGTGAAGAAGTTCAGAGACTGCATGTCAAAGGAGAGGTAAGAAAATAAGAAGAAAGATTCTTTTTTATTTATTTATTTTTGACAGGCAGAGTGGACAGTGAGAGAGAGACAGAGAGAAAGGACTTCCTTTTGCCGTTGGTTCACCCTCCAATGGCTGCCGCGGCCGGCGCGCTGCAGCCGGCGCACTGCGCTGATCCGATGGCAGGAGCCAGGTAATTATCCTGGTCTCCCATGGGGTGCAGGGCCCAAGCACCTGGGCCATCCTCCACTGCTCTCCTGGGCCACAGCAGAGAGCTGGCCTGGAAGAGAGGCAACCAGGACAGAATCCGGCGCCCCGACCGGGACTAGAACCCGGTATGCCGGTGCTGCAAGGCGGAGGATTAGCCTAGTGAGCCACGGTGCCAGCATAAGAAGAAAGATTCTTGATGGGCCTCATCCTCTGTCTCAGTCTGTTTTCTGTTGCTGTAATGAAATACCTGAGGCTGGTTGACTGACAAAGAGAAGAGGTTTCTTGAACTCACGGCTGGAGTCTCAGAGTCCAAGATCAGGTGGCCTCATCAGGTGGCCTCTGGCGAGGGCAGTGGGGCTGCGTTACAACATGGCAGATGGCATCCTGGTGAGGATATTCGGAGAGGAACGAACAGGATGTGTGGAAAATGAGAGGACTCAAGAGAGGCCGGGCTCTTTCCTAACAGCCTGCTCTCGTGGGGATGAACCCGGTCCTGCAAATGCTACCGTAGTCCCTTTCAAAGGTAGTGCCTGTGGCCCACTCATCTCCTAAGGGGTCTCCTTCCTCAGTGACATTGCAATGGGGACCAGACTTCCAACACGTGAACCTTTTAGGGACACACTCACACCCTGTCCAAGCTACGGCACTCTTCAGAAGAGAGCAGGCCTGCTACACCCACCACGTTTTCTATGCGTTGACTTTCCAGAGCAGGTTTGTTGTTAGCATCACAATTTATTGTCACCCAATGATCAGGACAACAGGGGTTCTGATCTGGGGCTTGGAAATACAGTCATGGCAATCATAGGCGCTATCCTCATGTCCCTCGGGCAGATCCCAGGTGAGGCATGCCCCCAAACCCCTTCTAGTGCTCAGGAGCCACTCAGAGGCCAGAGGCCAGTCTTCTGCTGATACCAACTAGTCCATCTTCCTCTCTTTACTGGGGGTAAACTGAGTCCCAAGGGTCCAGTGTCCTGATGACACAGTGAGCTGCGACTACTCAGAAGAATTCAGGCCCCGGGAGTCTTGGTCCAGGTTCCATCATATCACTCTTTTAGCATTTATAAGGAACAGAGAAGGTGTGAAGGAAGTTTTCTGAAGTCCTTATAAACTTAAAGTGGAGAGTGGGTGAAGAGATAATACTAAAGGAGGAAGCTACTGCTCACGGCCCAGGGGCAGTGTGGGCTGAGCTCCAGCTCTGAAATGGGCCCTAAGCTGCATCAGTAAGCAGCTCATGTGTGGACTTGGGAGTTGATCTGGGCTCACTGGGCCGTGGGCCTTGTTTGAAGGCAGAGATGGTGGAAGTGCCTATTTTGTGGGATTGTGTAAGGATTAGAGGAGCTAACGCATAGGGCCTGGCACAAACAGAACGCTTAATAAATGCTGGCTGTTATTGTAACTCCGGTGCAGACATCCAAAGACTGGGACAGACTGCCAAGAAGCCAGTCCTGAGGGGCTTGTCCTCCAGCCAGACTTCCTCGCTGGCAGCTCCTATTTCCCCCGGGCTGCCCAAGTCCTCCCTCCGCCTTCCAGATAAGAGACGATTGTGACCATGTGCACATCCAGCACCACGCACAGACCCTGCCAGCAGAGAGCAGGGTGCTGCCTAGAGGTGAGGCTGCAAACGGACACGGGGGAAGGGAACTGGGCGGGGGAAAGGAGAAGAAGAAGGGGCAGGGAAGGAGAGCTATTAGCGAGATTCCGCTCCTCAGCTGTCACAACACCCGAGCACGTGCTAAAGGCTTTCTAAGGACAGAGACGGCGACACCCAGTCACCAGCACCTCATTCCTCTCGGGAACTCAGAGCAAAAGGAAATGTCCCCCCCCCTCCCCGCCTCGCAGAAATCACTAAAGCTTACCGTCCAGGTTTGGTTTCCTTTTCCTCAAAACCGTGTAATCGGTGTCCCGTAACACCGGTACAACTGGCGTTCCCATCACAGACTCCTTGATTAGGATACTGAGTGTTTATAAAGAGCACCCCAATTCAACAAAGACCACATTCTATTCAGTGTCATTTTCACGAGGAGCACTTTGGGTCGTGTTCTGCCTCTCCGCAAATCAGCCACACAGCTTCTGCGCGTGGGAACCGGAACACCCTACATGCTGACTGCGGGGGAGCACACAGCCGACTCTGCAGTCCACAGCTGCACTCTTCCTCTCGCGTCTCCACCATGTGCCCAGCAGGACAACGAGATAAAGTTGCTCCAGATAATATTTGTTTTGTTGAGTGTTTCCCTGAGACTGGACACCACCCAGCAGCTGGAGCCCCCAATGCTGGCGTGTGAGGTTCAGAGATTGCGTTTCAAACCCCGGAGCAGGGGGATTTTCATCCTGCTTGCAGAGAAGTCATTATCTTCAGGATTTTTTTTTATTTTATTATTTTTTTTTTTTGCCTGGAGCACTGGAACTGAACCCTCCAGAGATAAGAACAAACAGAATGTGTTCTGTCTTTCCCAAGACAGCTGCCTCAGCATATACTTTCCACTTAAAGCTTTTAAGGATTTGACTTAGACATCCATGAACACCCCAGTGGACAGCTAGGGTTTGGTTTAATCCCCAAGAAAACTGGCATTAAAATAGACCTTTTCCCAGCAATAATAATCTCATTTATGATAAATTATTCTATTCTCAGTAGCTTTGAGACACATGAGAGCTTTTATGTAATAAAGAGGCCATTTATTTCCGAATATTTTAATGCATGTTTCCATATTTTTCTCATTTTTAATGCAAGGGCCGTTGACGGTATTGTAAGAGAATGTCTTTTAAAAGCAAATTTACGGCAAGTGTTCCAGGGAAATGGATGGCAGCGGACGCCGTTACGGAGCTACGCTGCTGAAAGGGGCAGGGCAGGGATGTTCCAATTCCCATTTGGGGGCACAAAAGAGTAACCTCTACAGAGGAAGGCTGTGCTCCTGGGTAAACTGATATGATCCGGGAGCCCTGGCTTCAATTCGGGCTCCATCCTTTGCATTCCTGGACATTCTTAGCGATTGCTGTGTCTCTTGGGCCACATCCGAGATATGTGTCTCCTAGGGTAACAGAGACAGAGGTTGGAGAAGACCCTGATGATCCCTGGGGAGAGAAAAGCAGTTCTGAGCATGTTGCGCTAACTGCAAGGAGAGGCTGTTTTGAAAGAGCAGAGAAGTCTTGCCCAAAGTGTGACTGCTCAGACTTTCTGGACTTCTGTTTTCAGAGCCGCTCATCCGGAAGGATGCTATCCAGAAACACCAGGGTGGGAGGTCTTACTGGGAAGCTCTAAGTGGATTTGGATGTGGAGAAAGGACAAGAATCAAAACCCGCTATGCCCTCCCCCCAACCCCAGGAAGGTACAAATGCCTTTTTATTAAAAGACATCAAATAAATTTCCTGTAGGCATGGGCAATGACAGCAAGAAAGCAGTATAGGTTGTTCATGGAAACCAGCGCCTGATCAGCTTTAGCGATTTTCTGAAACATCAGGCAGTCTTGTCTTCAGTCATTTTTCTGAACTGACTTCTGTGAAGTTATTGGTGAGGAGCACTGCCTTGAGCTTCCTGTCCCAGTTTGCTAATAACTGGACAGAACAATTATAAGTGTCAGAATGTGCCACCACCCATCCCACCTCCCATGCCACCTGCTGCACCCCTTCCAGGGTCTTTCCCTTCTTTCGGAATTTCTGTGACTATGACTTCTGCTGTGGCTAATGGACAGGCCACCCCAGCAGGAGCCACTAAAGCAGTTTTATGACCTTTCGTGGATCAGTAATTCATTTTACCACCATATTCACAAAATCTCCAAGCACAGCAGCATAACCAACTTCTGAGGCACTTTGCAGAATTTTCTCAACTATCAAAGATCTTTTAACACCTCTGTTGCTAGAGATGGTCTTTGCAGGAATTTTGAGTGTTCTTTGAATGATCTCTGTACCTTTTTTTTTTTTTTTTACTCTTCATTAGCTGGAGTTAATGAGTCTGAGGCTGGAATACAGAGAAGGGCCCAAGTGTCTCCTTGAACAAGGGCAGCTCCTGTACCATTGAGGGCATCTGTAATCATTCCTCTTAATTTGCTTCAACAGCGCTTGTCTTACCAACCCTCCGCACAGCTACTCCATCTGAAAACTTAGCCAGACATCTACACAGGCTTTCCTTTCCACTCATTCCTTTCACACTCATTGTGACATTTAACTGTTTGATGGTCCACTCTCCGAATACCCACAACAGCAGGGGCTAGGCCAGGCCAAAGCCAGGAGCCAGAAACTCCATGGGGTCTTCACGTGAATGGCAGAGACCTAGGTACTTGAGCCATCATCTGCAACCTCCCATGGTGCACTTTAGCAGGAAGCTGGATGAGAAGTGGAAGTGGGACTTCGCCCCAGCAGTCTGATATGGGATGTGGTTATCCAAAGTGGCAAATTAATCCATTCCACCACAACATCCACCCCCTGATAATTTCTTGAATATGCTTTTCAATTTGAGCTCTGTCACCTTTTCCTTTTGAGAACATCATCTCTGGCCACAATGTCCTCACTAAGTTTTCCTATCATGAGGCTGAATATCTTCAAGATTTAGGATCTACCACTCTTCTGCAAATACTGTACCATGAGCAGCAATAAAAACAGATTAATTAATTAATTAATTAATTTGAAAGGCAGAGTGACAGAAAGAGTTCTATCTATCTCCATATCCATATCTATATTATATCTATATCTGTATTTATATCTATAACTATATGTTTACCTATATCTGGCCAGGCCAAACCAGGAGCTAGAAACTCCAATCCATGTCTCCCGTTTGTGTGGCAGGACCCTAAGCTCTAGGGTCATCATCTGCTCCCTACCCAGGGGCATTACGAGAAAGCTAACTGGAAGCAGCATAGCCAGGATGCTGACCAGGCACTCTGACATGGAATGTGGGTGACCTAAGCAGCAGTTAACACACTGTAGCAGGATGCCCCTCTCCTGAGCCGGTTCTTCCGGCTGTAACCTGAGACTTTGCTATCATCCAAAGACCAACCTTAGCCTACTCATGAGTGAGCTCAGAGTTTCTCTCTATCAGTATCTTCAGAGATGATGGCCAAGGCTTACCGTAAGCATTGGCAATTTCAAGAGGAGGTACAACGGACTGGACATTAGAAATCTTCTTTTCACTCAATAGAACATGTGCATACTGAAATTCAGATGTCTAACTTTCTGATGTATTAATAATGTATGGAAAAATACAGTGCCAATCAACCTTCATGCCTTCAATAATTTCTAATTCATTCAGTGTTTTCTGTCCTTTCCTGTGAGGACACTTACAGAGTCAAGGTTCTCTGAAGATACACAATTGGTGGGATGTGTATATAGGTATAGGAAGGATAACTTATCAAGGGAATTGGCTCACATGATTATAGCAGCTGAGAGGTCTCACCGCAAGTCATCTGTGAGCTACAGACTGTGGGGTGCTGGCAGCAGCTCAACTCTAAGGGCCTGATAACTGACTTAAATAAAATTAAGAAGAAAAGAAAAGAAAAAGAAGAACTGGGAAAGTTAGTCTTGGTTACAATGGGAAGCCTGCATGCCAGCAAGGGGGTTGCTGGTTTACATCCTGGAGTTCAAAGATCAGTGACCATTGTCCAAGGCAGGAGTCTATCAAGTCCCATCTCTCAAAGCCAGAGATCAATTCCCCTCCCACACTTAATCTACCCACATGCCCAGCCAACCGGTGCTGCCTGCCCACATCAAAGCTGGGTCTCCCCACCCAGTTCATCCAGACTCACATGCTAATCTCCTTTGGAAACACTCTTACAGGCATGCCCAAAGAATGCTTTTCCAGATGTCTAGGTATCTCTCGATCCAGTCAATCTGACATCGTAAAATTCACTACCCCAGCATCCTTTCTTCTAATCACCTTTCTCATGGCATCAGAGATGATGTTGCCAATTTCTTAGTCTCCAGAAGCAAAAAGCAGGGCAACCTGGGGCAGTTTCTTTGGAGGCTGTCGCAGGCATGGACTGTTTCTCAAGTTCAGTAATTATGGCATTGACAGCTAATATCAACCTTGGTAGAACAATGCCTTTGCTGATCTTCTCCAAGCCCTCCTTGCAATAGAGGGAGCCAGTGCAATAGCAGCAGCGGCACTACCTGCAGCGTCTCTGTTTGTATTGTTGGAAGCATCTTGAACAAATTTAACCCTAATATTCTCATATTTGTCCTTTAAGTCAATTGGCATTACAGCAGTCACACCATCTTTTGCTACTCTGGGACATCCCTAACGCTTTCCATAACCACTGTTGTTATCTGGGACATTATAAGAGCTATACCATTGGCTAAAAGCGCTACACCTTGAAGTGTTAAGGTTCAGGCACCTGCCCCAAGTTTTATGTTTTTGGTATGAGCCCAGGCGAGATGAGGAGCAAGTGCCCTGGACACAGGCCTCATCAGATGGAGAACCTCGGGCAATCAAACACTGGGGTGGGGCAGAGGCCAGGAACACACTCGGAGAGGCGAGGGGTCAGCAGAGAATGAGGGACTGCATCTCCTTGGGTCTGAGGTTTTTAATATATGCTAAGTTCTCAGGACAGAAGACCGTTCTGAGAGGGCCTCTCTATGTCATCCTGATGCGCTGCCTGATGAAGAATTATTATGAAATTTAATCTCAATCATATGTGCTTGCGTGAGACTAGAAAATATGTATTTGACATGAGCAGAACAACACTTAGGGGACAAGAAGGCAACTCTTCACAGATATCTTACTAAGGTTCCCTTGACAAAATGCTCTGTGTATTCTATAAGCATTAATACTCCCCTCTGTAAGAAAATCAACGTTGGGGCCGGCGCCGTGGCTCACTTGGTTAATCCTCAGCCTGCGATGCCGGCATCCCATATGGGCACCGGGTTCTAGTCCTGGTTGCTCCTCTTCCAGTCCAGCTCTCTGCTGTGACCCGGGAGTGCAGTGGAGGATGGCCCAAGTGCTTGGGCCCCTGCACCCCATGGGAGACCAGGAGGAAGCACCTGGCTCTTGGCTTCAGATTGTAGTGGCCATTTGGGGGCTGAACCAATGGAAGGAAGACCTTTCTCTCTGTCTCTCTCTCTCTCTCTCTCACTAACTCTGTCAAGTAAAAAAATTATAAAAAAAATGGAAGTCAATGTCAGGGGCCTGGCTACAGTGACACTCTGGGTGAACTATAATAGGGCTTGGCAACAATGCTCTACAGCAGCGAGCCACTTTTAGTTCTGGACAGATAAGCGATTTTAGCCTTCAGGATGTTGCCTAAACAACTCTGACTGTGGCATCGAGGTCTCTCGATTCCCTTCTAGGAAGCTGCCAGGGGCAGAGCAAATAGAACAAGATAAGGTGGTAAGGATAAGTCAGTGTGAAGTTGATTTTGTGAAAACAAAACGAGAAGGAAAGCGAAGCACGTGCATTGCCTCTGATACTGTGCAAGGCTCTGTGCTATACTCTAACACTGTAAGAATGGAGACTTCTCAGCAGGGAAGGAAATGGGGGTGAGGAAACACTTGAAGGAAAGTCAGAATCCGAAGGAAACCCATTTGACACTTGCCAACCCTGAGATTTCAAACATGAAACTGGACTT